AAGGGATCCCTGTCCACAGTAGTTGATATAATGGTCATCTGAGTTAAATTCACCCATTCCAGTCCATTTCAGTTTGCTGATTCCTAGAATGTCGATATTCAATCTTGCCATCTCCTGTTTGACCACCTCCAATTTGCCTTGATTCATGGACCTAACATCCCAGGTTCCTATGCAATATTGCTCTTTACAGCATTGGACCTTGCTTCTATCACCAGTCTCATCCACAACTAGGTATTGTTTTTGCTTTGTCTCCATCTCTTCATTCTTTCTAGAGTTATTTCTCCACTGATCTCCAGTAGCATATTGGGTAACTACCGACCTGGGGAGTTCCTCTTTCAATATCCTATCATTTTGCCTTTTCATACTGTTCATGTAATCTGTAGGATTAACAGCTCTCTAATAGCAAAATATATGTTTTAAAGGTACACCAGGACACAGGAGTTACACATGAGCCTAAGGGAGTTTTTCATCAAAATTAGTTTCTTGATGGAATCTCTATTTTTAAATAAATTTCCATTTTTATTGCCAATGTGTTTTTACTTTGTGTAGATAGTCATCAGCCCCCTTTTTTTTTAAGTTGAAGTACAGTTTATTTACAACACTATATTAGTTTTAGGTGTACAACAGAGTGAATCACTACTTTTATGGATTATACTCCATTTAAAGCTATTACAAATAGAGTCTATATTTCCTTGTGCTGTAGAATATATTCCTATAGCTTATTGACTTTATACCTAGTAGTTTGTCTCTATCACCTACACCTGTCTTGCCCCTGCCACCTCCCTCTCCCCACCGCTAACCACTAGTTCTCTTTATCTGAGAGTCTGTTTCTGTTTCATGGATAAGTTCAATAGTGTCATAATTTAGATTTCACAGAGAAGTGATAACATATGGCATTTCTCTTTTTCTTTCTGACATACATCACTTACTATGATCATGTCTAGGGTTATATTGCTGAAAACCCATTATTTTAATCTTTTTTATAGCTGAGTAGTATTCAGTATGTATCACATATATGAAAACCTAGGTATATATTTCATATATGAAAATACAGGTATGTATTTCCTATATGAATACCTAGATATATATTTCATATATGAAAACCTGGGAAAGCTAGGTATATCTTTCATATATGAAAATATAAGTATATATGTTTGCAGAGTAGAATCTGTTGCTATTGTTCTTTAACCAAAAGAATTAAAATTTTACTATAACTTATAGTGATCTTATACTAATTCTTACAACTTGGGCTTGGTAAAATGGGTTTCTTCAGGACTTGCAGGGCAATAGTTCTCAAACTTTGGTGTGCTTCAGTGCTTCAGAATCAACTGGAGGGTTTATGAACCCAAATTGTCAGACTGCAGTTCCAGAGTTTCTGATTTAGTAGATTTGCAAATACCAGCCCAGGGACCATAATGAAAATTACTGTGTCTTTTGAGTAATGCTTTTAGAGACTGAAGATAACCCTTCTAATTCAAGTATATTGTCTTACATCTTAATACATACAAAGTCTTAATTTGAAACTAGAAGATTGCAAACTGATTTCCATTTATAGGACACTGTGAACTGAAATCAGTATGTAGACATCAAAAATAATGAAAATGTATTGTCAGAGAGACTTAAGTTTAAAAAAAAATTTATCCTGTAATTAGATTCACTGGCTACACCTGACTGATAACTTCTTTGTAAAACAAAAATTAAGAGGAAAACTACTTTATGTGATTTTTTAAAGTTCTTATCAAAATTAAGTTTCCTAATGGAATCTTCTATTTTAAAAAATCTTCCACTTTTATTTTTCTGTTTTGCTGAGTAATATTCTCTATATATTTCATATAAGAAAATAGAGGTATATATTTCATATATGGCCACAGAGGTATGCATGTCTTATATGAAAATATTGGTATATATCTCTTATATGACAATATAGGTACATATCTCATATGAAACTAGAGGTATATATTTTTATATCATAAAATTTAAAGCTTTCATAAAATTAAAAACTTTCATAAATTAAAAAATTTCAAACAAAGCCTTTCACTGCATGACTCACAGCAAACTGTGGAGAATTCTTAAAGAGATGGGAATACTAGACCACCATACCAGCCTCCTGAGAAACCTGGGTGCAAGTCAAGAAGCAACAGTTAGAAGCAGACATAGAGCAATGGACTGGTTTCAACTGGGAAAGCAGTGTGTCAAGGCTGTATATTGTCACCCTGCTTATTTAACTTATATGCAGTGTTGTTGTTGTTCAGTTGCCCAGTCGTGTCTGACTCTTTGGACTGCATGACCCATGGATTGTAGCAAGCCAGGCCTCCCTGTCCCTCACCATCTCCCGGAGTTTGACCAAGTTCATGTTCACTGCATCAGTGATGCCATCCAGCTATCTCATCCTCTGATGCCCTCTTCTCCTCCTACCCTCAATCTTTCCCAGCATCAGGGACTTTTCCAATGAGTCATCTGTTTGCATCAGATGACCAAAATCCTGGAGCTTCAGCATCAGCCCTTGCAGTGAATATTCAGGATTGATCTCCTTTAAGATTGACTGGTTTGATCTCCTTGCTATCCAAGGGACTTTCAAGAGTCTTCTCCAACACCACAGTTCAAAGACATCAATTCTTTGGCATTCTGCCTTCTTTACAGTCCAGCTCTCACAGCCGTTATGTGATCACTGGGAATACCATAGCCTTGACTATATGGACCTTTGTTGGCAGAGTTAATGTCTCTGCTTTTCAACACACTGTCTAGGTTAGTCATAGCTTTCCTGCCAAAGCAATCGTCTTCTGATTTCATGGCTGCAGTCACCATCCTCAGAGAATTTGGAGCCCAAGAAGAGGAAATCTGTCACTACTTCCACATTTTCCCTTCTATTTGCAATGCAGCAATGGGGCCAGAAGCCATGATCTTAGTTTTTTTAATATTTAATCTTAAGCCAGTTCTTTGACCCTCCTCCTTCACTCTCATCAAGCTCTTTAGTCCCTCTTCACATTCTGCCATTAGAGTGGTATCATCCACATATCTGAGGTTGTTGATGTTTCTCCGGCCTATCTTGATTTCACCTTGTAACTTATCCAGCCCGGCATTTCTCATGATGTGCTCAGAGTATAGGTTAAACAAATGGGGTGACAGCAGACAACCCTGTCGTACTCCTTTCTCGATCTTGAACCAATCAGTTGTTCTATACAGGATTCTAACTGTTGCTTCTTGACCCACATACAGGTTTCTCAGGAGACAGGTAAGATGGTCTGGTATTTCCATCTCTTTAAGAGCTTTCCACAGTTTGTCATGATCCACACAGTCAAAGGCTTTAGCGTTGTCGATGAAACAGAGATAGATGTTTTCCTGACATTCCCTTGCTTTCTCTGTAATCCAGCAAATGTTGGCAATTTGATCTCTGGTTTATCTACCATTTCTAAACCCAGCTTGTACATCTGAAGGTTCTTGGTTCACATAAAGCATGCAAGATTTTAAGCATGATCTTACTAGCATGGGAGATGAGTGCAATTGTCTGATGGTTAGCATATTCTTTGCTACTACCCTTCTTGGGAATTGGGATGATTGACCTTTTCCAGTCCTGTGGCCATTGCTGGGTCTTCCAGATTTGCTGACATAATGAATGCAAAACTTTGATGGCATCATCCTTTAGGGTTATGAATAAGTCTGCTGGAATTTCATTGCATCCACTAGCTTTTTTAACAGCAGTGTTTCTAAGGCCCACTTGACTTCGCACTCCAGAATGTCTGGCTCTGGGTGACTAACCACACCATCGTAGTAATCCAGTTCACTAAGATCTTTTTTATACAGTTCTTCCATGTATTCTTTCCATCTCTTCTTGATCTCGTCATTGTAAACTAGGTCTCTACCATTTTTATCCTTTATTGTGCCCATCTTTGGGCAGAATGCTCCCTTGATGTTTCCAGTTTTTCTGAAGAGATCTGTAGTCTTTCCCTGTTTGTTGTTTTCTTCTATTATTAAGCATTGTTCATTGAAGATGGCCTTCTTGTCTCTCCTAGCTGTTCTTTGGAACTCTGTGTTTAATGGATGTACCATTCCCTCCCTCCCTTGTTTTTCACTTCTCTTCATTCTTCTGCTATTTGTAAAGCCTCCTCAGATAACCACTTTGCCTTCTTTTCTTTTTCTTTGGGATGGTTTTCTTTGCCACCTCCAGTGCAATATTATGGACCTCTGTCCATAGTTTTTCAGGCAGACCCTTAACTAGATCTAGTCCCTTGAATCCATTCATTTTCTCTACTGCAAATCCATACAGGATTTGATTTAAGTCATACCTGCCTGACCTAGTGTTTTTCCCAGGTATTCTTTAGCTTAAGCCTTAATTTTCCCATGAGAATCTGATGATCTGAGCTACTGTCAGCTCCAGGTCTTGTTTTTGCTGACTATATACAGGTTCTCCATCTTCGGCTACAAAGAATGTAATCAATTTTATTTCAGTAATGACCATTTGGTGAGGTCCATGTGTAAAGTTGTCTCTTGTGTTGTTGGAAAATGGTCAGTAACATGAAGGACCTCCTTCATGGATCACTGCCTTGTCATGGCAAAGGAGCTTACATAGCTCAATGAAGCTATGAATCATACCATGCAGGGCCACCCAGGATGGACAGGTCATAGCAGAGAGTTCTGACAAAACATGATCCACTAGAGGAGGGAATGGCAAACCACGCCAGTATACTTGCCATGAGAACCTCATGAACTGTTTAAAAGGCTATATGCAGAGTACATCATGCTAAATGCCTGGCTGGATGAATCACAAGCTGGAATCAAGATTTCTGGAAGAAATATTAACAGCCTCAGATATGCAGATGCTAGCACCCTAATGGAAAAAATGTGGAGAAGAACTAAAGAGCCTCTTGATGAGTGTGGAAGAGAAGAGTGAAAAACCTGGCCTAAAACTCAACTTAAAATCATGGCATCCAGTCTTATCACATCATGGCAAATAGACAGGGGAAAAATGTCCAGTTTATTCCCTCTGACCTGGTGGACTCGGGATGCTATTTGACCCCAGGAACGTGATTAGGCTTGAATCCCAGGGCTGGACTGGGGTGGGGTCAGGATAGCAAGGCAGGGTCCCCTTCACTGATATCTGTCTCAATCCTATACTGTCTGGTGTTCTGTGACTAGGACCAGAATCTCTAGTGCACCCCAATGATGGTGGCCTGACCCTCTGGCCTCAAGGATCAGGGTAAAATAACCAAGTATCCAAGGCCCTGGTGCTGGGGTCCCCAGTTGAAGACTCCTTCCTGAGAGTGCAGCCTCCTAGGCACCTTAGCAGTGAGGGGTGCCCCCGATTGGGATGAGTCTGGAGGGGAGGGGTGAAGCTTTAGGGGGAAGTAGTGAGACACAAGGCCTTGGATGTTTGCTCAGACATATTCCACTCAAATCCACAGCCCAGGAAGCCGACCTTCCCTAAGGCTCTGGTTGCAGGTGGAACCAGAGTTGGGCATGAAGAAGTGCTGCCACCTGGTGGACATATCCTATAACTACAACTTGCCCACAGGTGATTACTGGCAACTTCGGGCTGTTACTGACAGCTGCCCTCTGGAAAGGTCCTGGGGTGGGTACTGCAGAAGTCAATTCTGAACATAACTGACTTTCCAGAAGCAGCGTACAACAGGTAAATTTTCCTCACACCCTTTAGGAAAAGAAAAAAAAAATCAAATGGCCCCAGGACAAGAGGCTCTACATCCCTAAATATTACAGGAGGAATGTCAATCAAAACGGCAACAAGAAATCAAAACCCACCTCTCGGAATGGCCATTCTCAATTCAGTTCAGGTCAGTCACTCAGTCATGTCTGACTCTTTGTGAACCCGTGAATCGCAGCACGCCAGGCACTTTGTCCATCACCAACTACCGGAGTCTACCCAAACCCATGTCCATAGAGTTGGTGATGCCATCCAGCCATCTCATCCTCTGTCGTCCCCTTCTTCTCCTGCCCCCAATCCCTCCCAGCATCAGAGTCTTTTCCAATGAGTCAACTCTTCGCATGAGGTGGCCAAAGTATTGGAGTTTCAGCTTCAGCATCCGTCCTTCCAGTGAACACCCAGGACTGATCTCCTTTAGGATGGACTGGTTGGATCTTCTTGCAATCCAAGAGACTCTCAAGAGTCTTCTCCAACACCACAGTTCAAAAACATCAATTCTTTGGTGCTCAGCTTTCTTCCCGTCCAACTCTCACATCCATACATGACTACTGGAAAAACCATAGCCTTGACTAGACGGACCTTTGTTGGCAAAGTAATGTCTCTGCTTTATACTATGCTATCTAGGTTGGTCATAACTTTCCTTCCAAGGAGTAAGCGTATTTTAATTTCATGGCTTCAATCACCATCTGCAGTGATTTTAGAGCCCAAAAAAATAAAGTCTGAGACTGCTTCCACTGTTTCCCCATCTATTTGCCATGAAGTGATGGGTCCAGATGCCATGATCTTAGTTTTCTGAATGTTGAGCTCTAAGCCAACTTTTTCACTTTCCTCTTTCACTTTCATCAAGAGGCTCTTTAGTTGTTCTTCACTTTCTGCCATAAGGGTGGTGTCATCTGAATATCTGAGGTTATTGATATTTCTCCTGGCAATCTTGATTTCAGCTTGTGATTCTTCCAGCCCAGCGTTTCTCATTATGTATTCTGGTAAAAGTTAAATAGGCAGGGTGACAATATACAGCGTTGACGTACTCCTTTTGCTATTTGGAACCAGTCATTGTTCCATGTCCAGTTCTAACTGTTGCATCCTGACCTGCATATAGGTTTCTCAAGAGGCAGGTCAGGTGGTCTGGTATTCCCATCTCTTTAAGAATTTTCCATAGTTTATTGTGATTCACACAATGAAAGGCTTTGGTATAATCAATGAAGCAGAAATAGATGTTTTTCTGGAACTCTCTTGCTTTTTCTATGATCCAGCGGATGTTGGCAATTTGATCTCTGGTTCCTCTGCCTTTTCTAAAATCACCTTGAACATCTGGAAGTTTACAGTTCACGTATTGCTGAAACCTGGCTTTGAGAATTTTGAGCATTACTTTACAAGCGTGTGAGATGAGTGCAATTGTGCGGTAGTTTGAGCATTCTTTGGCATTGCCTTTCTTTGGGATTGGAATGAAAACTGACCTTTTCCAGTCCTGTGGCCACTGCTGAGTTTTCCAAATTTGCTGGCATATTGAGTGCAGCACTTTCACAGCATCATCTTTCAGGATTTGAAATAGCTCAACTGGAATTCCATCACCTCCACTAGCTTTATTCATAGTTATGCTTTCTAAGGCCCACTTGACTTCGCATTCCAGGATGTCTGGCTCTAGGTGAGTGATCACACCATCATGATTATCTGGGTCGTGAAGATCTTTTTTGTACAGTTCTTCTGTGTATTCTTGCCACCTCTTCTTAATATCTTCTGCTTCTGTTAGGTCCATACCATTTCTGTCCTTTATTGTGCCCGTCTTTGCATGAAATGTTCCCTTGGTATTTCTAATTTTCTTGATGAGATCTCTAGACTTTATTCTATTGCTTTCCTCTATTTCTTTGCATTGATTGCTGAGGAAGGCTTTCTTATCTCTCCTTCCTATTCTTTGGAACTCTGCATTTAAATGATAATATCTTTCCTTTTCTCCTTTGCTTTTCATTTCTCTTCTTTTCACAGCTATTTGTAAGGCCTCCTCAGACAACCATTTTGCTTTTTTGTATTTTTTTTTCCATGGGGATGGTGTTGATCCCTGTCTCCTGTACAATGTCATGAACCTCTGTTCATAGTTCATCAGGCGCACTGTCTATCAGATCTAGTCCCTTAAATCTATTTCTCACTTCCCCTGTGTAATCATAAGGGATTTGATTTAGGTCATACCTGAATGGTCTAGTGGTTTTCCCTACTTTCTTCAACTTAAGTCTGAATTTGGCAATAAGGAGTTCATGATCTGAGGCACAGTCAGCTCCCAGTCTTGTTTTTGCTGACTGTCTAGAGCTTCTCCATCTTTGGCTGCAAAGAATATAATCAATTTGATTTCGGTGTTGACCATCTGGTGATGTCCCTGTGTAGAGTCTTCTCTTGTGTTGATGGAAAAGGGTATTTGCTATGACCAATACGTTCTCTTGGCAAAACTCTATTAGCCTTTGCCCTCCTTCATTCCGTTCTCCAAGGCCAAATTTGCCTGTTACTCCAGGTGTTTCTTGACTTCCTACTTTTTCATTCAAGTCCCCTATAATAAAAAGGACATCTTTTTGGGGTGTTAGTTCTGAAAGGTCTTGTAGGTCTTCAGAGAACCGTTCAACTTCAGCTTCTTCAGCATTACTGGTTGGGGCATAGGCTTGGATTACCATGATATTGAATGGTTTGCCTTGGAAACAGAGATCATTCTGTCATTTTTGAGATTTCATTTCATCCAAGTGCTGTATTTTGGACTCTTTTGTTGACCATGATGGCTACTCCATTTCTTCTAAGGGATTCCTGCCCACAGTAGTTGATATAATGGTCATCTGAATTAAATTCACCCATTCCAGTCCATTTTAGTTTGCTGATTCCTAGAATGTCAATGTTTACTCTTGCCATCTCCTCTTTGACCACCTCCAATTTGCCTTGATTCATGGACCTAGCATTCCAGGTTCCTATGCAATATTACTCTTTACAGCATTGGACCTTGCTTCTATCACCAGTCACATCCACAACTGGGTATTGTTTTTGCTTTGGCTCCATCCAAGAAGAGAGTGAAAAAGTTGGTTTAAAGCTCAACATTCGGAAAACTAAGATCATGGCATCTGGTCCCATCACTTCATGGCAAATAGATGGGGACACAGTGGGAACAGTGGCTGACTTTATTTGGGGGGGCTGCAAAATCACTGCAGATGGTGATTGCAGCCATGAAATTAAAATACGCTTACTCCTTGGAAGGAAAGTTATGACCAACCTAGATAGCATAGTATAAAGCAGAGACATTACTTTGCCAACAAAGGTCTGTCTAGTCAAGGCTGTGGTTTTTCCAGTAGTCATGTATGGATGTGAGAGTTGGATGGTGAAGAAAGCTGAGCACCGAAGAATTGATACTTTTGAACTGTGGTTTTGGAGAAGACTCTTGAGAGTCCCTTGGACTGTGAGGAGATACAACCAGTCCATCCTAAAGGAGATCAGTCCTGGGTGTTCATTGGAAGGACTGGTGTTGAAGCTGAAACTCCAATACTTTGGCCACCTCATGTGAAGAGTTGACTCATTGGAAAAGTCCCTGATGCTGGGAGGGATAGGGGGCAGGAGAAGAAGGGGACAACAGAGGATGAGATGGCTGGATGGCATCACTGATTCGATGGACATGAGTTTACTCAAACTCTGGGAGTTAGTGATGGACAGGGAGGCCTGGTGTGCTGTGATTCATGGGGTCGCAGAGAGTCGGACACGACTAAGCGACTGAACTCAACTGAAATGAAATTATATATAAAAAAAGAAGAACCGACCTTCTAGTACAGGAGACGAGGGTTTGATTCCTGGCCAGGGAACTATTAATAAGCTCTCACATGCAGAGGGGCAACTAAGCCTGTGCCCCACATCTAGAGAAAGCCCACATGCAGCAACAAAGACCTAGTGCAGCCAAAATTAAAAGAAATGTTTTCCCCATTAAATACAGTGCTGTTGTTGGCTTTTCCAGTGCTTGACGTTGCAAACCATTCTCTTGTCTTTGGATACAAATGGAAGGACCCAGGTTGATCACTCAGGACAGAAGTCACATTGTTGAAGGTCTGCAGAATTAACCTATAGCACACTGTGGTGTAAGAGATAGAGTCTCCTATTAAAGATGAAGACAGGAGGTCCTTGTTTCAATTCAGCCTTCCATTCACTGTCAGGCCCTGAGCACGATATTTAATGAATGGATGGCCTTCCCATCCTGGGAAATTGGAAATGATGGTCCTGACTGCTGGGCTTGAAGTAGGTTGAACAGGAGAGCAGCCCACACTGGCCTCACTCCCATGAATGCTTTTTTTTCCCTACTATATACAAGGAATGGAGAAACTTTTTAAAAATCGTTTGGCCACACCAAGAGACATATGGGATCTTATTTCCCTGACCAGGGATTGA